CATGGTTATATTAATATCCCATATCTTCAGTATCCGAGAGAAAGTCTTCGACCAATTGTTTGAATTCTTTGGCAAAAACCAAATGTAAATTATGGGAGCCTTTGGGGAAACGATGCAATCGGGAGTCGGATATGTTTTTGATCACGTGCTCCGGGTGTTCCAGGTTTACCATGGGGTCCTAATTTTTTTTAAATACATCATGGTAGAGGAATTAATTTTTATAGTTATTAATTTATTAATAACTTTGGGAAATATTGCATGCTTTTAATTCTCTCTCTTTCGTTAGTATTGTATAATACATTTAATCTACAATTATATTATGTTACCTGATCGCCGTGAAGCACAAACAGTGGGCACCGGATTTTCTGCAGGTCATTCTTGACAAACCCGTCGGGAAATATCTCCCGTATCTTCTCGAGAAACTCTATGTGTCGGGTCCAGAGTCCGGCCCAGTCGTCCCCGTAGACGGTCTCGTAGTTTTTGATGAGATCCGCGCCCCAGTACTTGATGTTCTTGGTCATTACCAGTGCGTCGATATCCCGTTTAGTGGCGTACGTCACCACTCCCCACACCACGCAACTGGTCACCCTAGATGGGTACTGGGCCGCCACCAATAAGGCTGTTTTGGCCCCGTCCGACCAGCCCATGGTCGAGTATGTTTGATAGCCCAGTGACTGTTTAGCGCAAATAATATTTTGTAATGCAATTTTGTAATAAAGTTATATTAAAAATTATATATAGCAAAACCCAATAATAATTTATTTTTAATAAACATTATATTAATGATGAAATATTCTACACTGTATATTTGAATATCAATTAAAAACAAACCTCCATGATAATTTTGCCGGACAGAGCGTCTTTGTTGTAGGTCTGGGAATCATATATACGGAGTGGAGGTCGAGAGCGGCCCCAACCCAACGGCTCGACTGTCACTAAAGTGTATTTCTTGAGATTTAAGGCAAACTCGCCTTTGATTTGGGGCCCAAAGTCTGACCGCCCGGTGCCTATAATGTACCATAGTTACATTTTTGTAGCAATACATAAACTAGGCTAGTTTCAATTTTGACCTACCTATGGCACCGGGGAACACGAGTATGGCGTGAGGGCCGGACCCAAATCGCTCATACCATACATCGTTACCATCGACTTTCACCGAACCGCTGGTCATTGTTTAACGTCAGATATCTTGAATAAATGCCAAATGCCAAAAAAACTAACAATTAAGCTCTTTTATATCGATATCGAGGTAAACAATAAAACAAAATTAGAGTGGAATTTTTAATATAATTATCTAGATAACTAGTTACTTTCACAAAAAAATTTACACTATAATTATATGCATGTGTATCAACTGGGATAATTTGCCACATACACACACAAATTTATACCCCGGTAGAGCTAGGTTAAAATATCAAATGATATAAACGTGCTGAATAAAAGTGAAGTTTGTCGAAATAAGTTTGTTTGAGTCACAACAAGTAAAATAATTAGATATTTTTATACAAGGAAAATAAATGTGATTTTAAAACATATTTTAGGGTCTGGTGTAAGAAGTAAATAAAATGAGTTTTATTGTTTTTTTCAATTCATTTTTACCGTTAAAATAGTAAAAAAGTTAATGTATATATGAATACGTCATTGAGAAAAGCCCAAACATTAATTGATTATGGTGGTGGGAATATCCTGTGCTAACTATACGTGGTTGAAAGCACATAAATGAATTAAAATAATAAAAATGTATATGATGCAAGTAATAATGTCTCTAGTTTTAAAAATTAATTACTACTTCCTTTATTTGATCACCATACAAACGTGATAATTTTATTACATTTATTAAACATGCAACGTAACGTTTATTGTTATTAATTATAGCAAGTTTATTAAGTTATTAAGTTATAAATTTACACAATAATTATGCATAAAATTTAATTTTAGCAACTATATGCAATAGTCTTTGAAAAATTATATAATGTTTTTGACTAAAATTCATTAAGGTGGTTTATTTTTGTTTTTTCAATTTATAAAAAAAATTTATTGACACTAAATACAAAGTAAGAAGTTAAAATCATAATATTTAAAAATAATAAAATTGTATATTATAGTTAATTTATAAATTAGTGTCTTAAAATGTTGCAATTTGATAATAACTATATCTTTTAAAATATGTACAGTTTATATTTTTTAAGAATATATTTATTTAATTTATATTATGGTAATATATATAATTATGTATTGTTTAATTAAATACACCATGATGGTTTGTCTAGGCCATAGCAGTTTTATTAAATATTATATATTATAAACGTTTAAATATCTTATATTTGGTTTTTTGTACATAAAAAATAAAATAGATTGTAAAATAAATAAAAACAAAATAATCTAAAATATAAAATATGTAAAGAATGATGTATTAGGTAATAAACATCCAAGGTAAATATGCGGCAACTTATAAATAAAATGTCCAGGCTAACATTGTAGCATAGATTAAATACTTGATTGGTATAGTCTTATATTAAAATCATTTGCATTACTATTATTACCCTGATTATTACCGTTACTATTACTATCAATACTAACAACATTGCTATCGCGTTTAGCATCATTAAAGCCATGATGATTACAATTAGCATCAGTTTGACACAGGTCACTCAAATACAAGGCGGTCAATATGGCCGATATAGTGCCCTGTAATAGACCTATCATAACATCGCTCCAGTGGTGCCAATAGTCCGATATACGAGTATAGCCCACATAAAAGGCCAGGTTTATGGCCAGCGCCTGTATGAGCGCCCGTAGCAACGAGTCTCTCGTTTGGGTGATTG